CAAAGTTTTCCCAATTTACATGCTGGAAAAACCGTTGTACATTAGAAGATAGAGTCCTATGAAAAACATCAATTGTAGTGCACGATTGCTTTACAAAAGTCCTGTCCTTCAACTGCTTAGCATGAAATGTAAAGATTATTGTTAAGGAAAATCCAGCATTTTATAGATCGAACGATAAAATAGTAACAGCCGAACTATTATAACCATAATAGTCACACACCTGACATAAATTCAAGGTTGATATCTCCAAATTTGGAGAGCACGTGCTCAGAATTTAGCACCTGTTCCTTTTTGCAACATGTTTCGATAGTTGCACATCGTATCCATCATTTTTCCAGACCAAAAAAAAAAGACAAAAAAACCAAAACAAATGTTCATTAGTTTGATTGAATATTTCACTTAATAATTATTTTAACACATAGCATTGCCACTTGAAAAAAACTTGCACAGGAAAGTGTCAAGATGGGAAAAATTTGTATCTGTTTGCATAAAGTTTGACAAAGTACTCACAATCTGTCCATGTAAGTGATCAAATTCGGGCAATGCCATTGCCTTTACACATGCAAGCAGCTGCATAATTTCATCCAAAAAGCATATCTCCATACCTTCGCAAAAACATCAAAACCCCAAAACTAGATGAAGTCAAATCGACTGCTACGTGCTTTGTCATTTTATAGCCATTCCTCCTCTTATAGTGCCATATTCTTGCAAGTCGTCGACGACATCATCGAAGTTTACAATATCGGTTGGCACATCACCAGGAACCGACTGAGAACTCATCATTGTTGTTGGACCAGATTCGAGATAAGATGACCGAGATTCTTGCGTTACCATGGGGGTTGGAATGAAATGGAAGGAATGTTTTTCCACAGGATTATGCTCCGTCGATGCTTGCGACCCCCTGTCTGCTGCCAGTTTGCCCTATGTAATGCATGTATCACATAACCAGATAGATCACATAATGCAACAAATATTAGGACTGTGAGTTAAAATAATAAAACAAACTTTTACTAACTCGTTGGTCGACCGCTCTATCCCAATTTGTGCCAACTGGTTCTAAATGTCCATCAAACAAATCATGTCCAACAAATGTTAACCATCGAATACATTAATTTCAACTTCATCACACCTTGTAGGACAAGTACTCTTCGTAAGAAGTAACATCATACCCACAATAGCAGGTGCATCTGACCTAGAGTGGTATCGCTTGTTGTGACCCCGCTCTCCGCATAACGAGCATGTCATTGTCAATCGTCTCTTTCTCCGAATATATGTTTTCTCCTGTGAATGCACGATCACCTCTTCAGTCACTCATTTTCTCCAATTTATTTGTCTCTTTCCTTTTCGTGGCACAGTCCATACCGGTGGAATGATATCAATCATGTCCAGCTGTGCCCTTAACCACATACCATTAATTGGATTTATGATACTATTGTAGCATCTCATATATGTCTTAATTGTGTCACAATTGTCAACGAAATCTTCTGGATCATTTCTGTATTCCCTAATTACTGCCACTGCATGCATGTATGGTATGCCTGTAAGCTCCCATTCCCTACATGCACATATTCTTTCTTGCAGGTCTATGACATACGTCCCGAAGTTGCATTCAACTTGCCATTTCGGACCACTAGAAAAGTATAATGTGCATTCACGCAATTTCTCAGCATTCTTGTGTAATTTTTTCTTGATCTTCGGACACAATCGTCCTATGCAGCTCATTATCTTGTCTCGACGCTTTCGAATCCTATTCCTGAAGGTTAACTGCTAGAAGTTAGCATCGACAAAATCATCTTCTCTCTATCACTCCGCAAAGTATTGTTGAACACTTCACAGAAATTGTTCGGTAAAATGTCACTCTTCGAATGAACTGAGAAATGTGATCTACTCCATTCTTACGGATGCATATCTATAAGCCATTTGTATGCATCCTAACCGAGTTAACGAATTTGTTGTATCCAATTTCGGTAGTCAACAACAGTGGTCGACTTTGCAGCACGCCACAAGTAATTCTCCAAAATTTTACTCTTAAACTCGGTAGTAAAAAAGTTTGTGTATATATGTCTTACACAGAACCTATACTCAGCCTTAGTGAACAACTCGTCTGTGATATTTGTAAACCCTTTTGCCTGTCAGTCATAAGAGTCCAACCTCTCTCATTTCCTATCCTAATATCATCTGAAAGATGGGTCAAGAACCATCGCCAAGCTGTTGTATTTTCTTTCGGAACAACTATAGTTGCCACAAGATAAATGTAATCGTTAGCGTCAAGATCAACTGCAGTTAACATTATCCCTCCGAAACAACCCCTTAAGTGACAACCGTCAGCACCTACCACCTTCCTACAACCATCCCTGAATCCTATCTTACAACAATTAAAGCATATATAGATCGCATGGAAAATCTGCTCCTGTAATGCAATTATGACTGTCGAGATGACATTTGTATGTAATACCTTGCCTGCATATGATCCCAACTAAATATAGTATTTAAGTAGAGTGTCGAACTCACAGTGATTGATATTCAAATCCTATTGAGTACTATAATTATTTTAACTTTCACTTTATCTAGAAAATCAAATTTTTGACACGATATTTTTATGCTAATATGAAATAAATGGGTTGAATGATGCAAGTAAACGGAGGCAAACTGTAAAATTTCTTATCAAATTATGAAGGTAGAGAATGATTTCACCGTACTATCAACAATATTTATCAACCTCTATAACTATTTCTATCAATCTTTCCAAAATTTATAGGCAGTAACGTTAAATTGATTTCATTTCCCTTTCTCGAGCACCAAATAGAATTTATTTCTATATTTTAACTCTAATATCTCTATTTCAAATTAAAACATAAAAATTATCTAGCATGTGGTTCTTAATTTAATCAAGCTTCAAAAATTTCACACTTTCTTTCGAAACCTACAAAATTTAGGTTATGTTGTCTTAGATCACGCATAAATTTGCCTCCCTCGAGCCCCAAAATTTAAAACATCAAATTATTCAATTAGTGGCCAGTTAATTGAAGGCATTGCGTAAGAATCAACATAAATAAATAAGCTCAAAGATTAAATGAAATAATTATATAGGAATTAAAACATGTCTACGTAGGTTACATCAAACACTAGAATTAATGTTTAGTTCATGATGAAAGAATTAAATCTAAACAAATTGATGAATAACATAAAGAGAGAAAGAAAGAAAAACTCTTTTGAAGCTTTTAATTGGAATTCCCCTTGATGTTTTTCATGCCTTCTTGCCCCTTGATGAATTGTTTGTTGAATTGTCTTCAATCTTACCCCCTTCAATTCTTATGTTTGGCCCCTTCCATTCTCCTTGAAAATAGGGTTTTTTGAATGGTATTTATAGTATGTTAGGGTCTTGGGAATAAGGGTTGAATTGGGCCAAGAAAAGAGTCCAAAAATATAAAAACACGTTTTCCCGCATATCTGGCACCTCAATGCCCAAGATGGGCGCTGCAGCGCCTAGCTTGTTGTTATTTTCAGTGAGTTGGGTGCTGCGGCACACAAATTGGGCGTCTTGGCGCCCGGTTCGATCGAAAATGACAGACTGCGCATCTTTTAGTATTTTTAACATAAATTTCTTGTTCGATGTCTGATTGAGATAATTCAAGATGTTTTGGAAAGATAACTTAAAGGGCTACAACTTTGCTTCAGACATCATTCTCCAGTTTGATCGTTTACTATGTCAAAAAGGGTCTCAATTTGAGGCTGAAATTCCCGAACATAACTTTTCGGTTGAAAATTGATTTGTGATCATATTTTGCCTAAATGTGATCCCTTTGATATCTTTCTTCATCCAATTGACTCTCAACACTCTCGGGTCTTCATTACGAGGTTCGATACAAGTTTTGATTATTTACATTTTAATCCCTAAACTTTGGATCTTTTACAATTTGGCCCATTCTCTCCATTTTTGCTAACTTTTGCTTAATTCCTCCAATTTAATCAACCTATATCAAAACATCAAAACACACATTAAAACACTCTAAAACATTCTTAAGGGTAACAAAATAATGAATTAAGTGGTATAAATATAATGAGTGTGGAGCACTCATCAGTAATCGTCATTCAAAGCAAGTTTCATTTTCCACTAAAATCCCACAAAACCAAAATCCAACATTTTTACTTACACTACATCACTCACTATATGTGCAACGCACATGCATTCACTAGCATATATAAAAAGGGATGCTGGACGACGTGGCATTGTCCAAACAGGGCGCCTAATTGGTGCCCCTCTATTGGAAGGCGTGCCGACACAGAGCCTACATGGCCCTGTCCAAGAATATTTATCCATAAAAAATTTGTGAAACTTCACTAATTGGTCCTTGCCGGGTGAAGCTCTCAAGATTCGTCGCCTCAATTTGAACTTGCCGGAGGTTTCTCAATTAGTAAGGCTTGCCCAAAGATGTCAACTTATAAATAAATAAGTTTTTAACAAATAGTTTTCTATTTAATTAAGTTACTTAGTTTGACATTATAGTTATAGTTACTCTTGAAAAGTATTTTTTATTTTTAATTAGAAAGTAAGAGCCTGTTTGTTTTCCACTTTTATAGCATGAATTCATTTTGAAATAATAAATTGATGGAGAATATGTAATTAAAAAATAAAGAAAAATTTTAAATTTGTTTGTAATATTATTTTATTACAAAACGGGTATCAAATAAGAGGTAAGTTATTTTGTTACATGAAGATAAAAAAAATGTTTACTTGTATTGTTTTTATTATAAACTCATGCTATGAGAATCTTCTAGACGGTCCCTTGAGCTCCAAAATTAAAGAGAGTCGTTAGGTAAGGTCGGACGGAAATTACGAGGGCCTGTTTGGCATCAAGCTCACCCCTATTAATTGCCTTTTAGGTTCCTTACAAAATGAATTTGGTTGCTTGTACATAAAAAGGTACATAGATGGCTATCGAAAATAATGTGGAGGGAAAAAATTGAATAAAAAATTAACTATATTTTAAACTGACGAATGAAAAAATGTCACGTGAACATTATGTAATTTCTGGTGTAAACTTTGATGTTCATAATGTAGTAAGATTCAAATACAATCAAAATTTATCTCGAACGTATATAATTAAAAAATTTTAAAAAAAAATGGCGTAGCCGATGCTTCATTATTGCTAAGACGAGAGTAGAGATTGCTTAAAGACTTGTACTTTGTTTGTAGAAATTGTACCTTTCCCTGGCATCAGTATTTTCCCACTATATTCCTCGTTCCACTCTTTACATATCACACCGCTGACAAGATCCATACTATACTCAGCAGCTCAATTGAAAATGTCAGCTACTTTGAATTCTCCGCTATCCTGTGCGATCTCATCTTCCTTCACTCTTCAGGTAAATTAAAGCATAATAATCCATTTGTGTGTTGTTCTACATCTTTATGTATTTATCATGTATGTATATACGTGTGTGTTAATTGTGTTCGCTGGATATATGAATTTTTGTGTGATCGGGGCAGGAGAGGAAATTGCGATTGGCCGCTCAATTGGCAAACACAAGTATCATATTTAGGCCTCGTCGATGTTTTCCTTTAATCCGAGCTTCTAGTGGTTCCTCTTCTTCTCTCGACACCGGTGCGGTTTATTCTGATTTTTATTATTATTATTATTATTATTTTGGCCTAAATTTGATAGAAGCTGGATATATGAATTTTTGTGTGATCGGGGCAGGAGAGGAAATTGCGATTGGCCGCTCAATTGGCAAACACAAGTATCATATTTAGGCCTCGTCGATGTTTTCCTTTAATCCGAGCTTCTAGTGGTTCCTCTTCTTCTCTCGACACCGGTGCGGTTTATTCTGATTTTTATTATTATTATTATTATTATTTTGGCCTAAATTTGATAGATGCTCATTACACGTTAATTCACGTTATACACTTTTTTAAATTTTTTTTAATGGTGATAGGTTTGAGCACTGAATTGGATGCTGTCACCAGTTACAGTGAGATCGTCCCCGATACTGTCATTTTCGATGACTTCGAGAGGTAAGTTTTTTGAGGGATTAATTTCTTCTTCAGCTGGAATTGAATTCGAGTATCTTTGATTTTTTTATGCCATGATTTAATTTTTTAAATATATGAATTCTATAGATTTCCACCAACAGCTGCCACTGTCAGCTCCTCGCTCATCTTGGGTATCTGCAGCCTCCCTGACACTAAATTTAGGGTAAGTATACTTTCTTTTATTCCTTCGTAGTTCTTCTTTTTTGGAGAAATTATCCATTAGTTTACCGAATGATTGGTACTCTTTCACATGCTGAGCAAATAGGCATATTTGTCCGCGTATCTAACTATATCTAAATTGAATATTGGTATGCTAGCACCCGTATGTCATTTTTGCTTTCAATTTATTTCTTTCTGTTAGAGTATGACTTATTAAAAATTATGTAATAATATAATTTCAAAAAGAAATTATAATGGGAAAACTTTGGAAGAGTCTGTCTTTAACTTATTGCTAACAAAATTATGCTGTCATTTCTTTCTTGGTTCTCTTATTTTTGTGGATTGTAGAGTGCTGTTGATACTGCATTGGCAGATTCAAAATGCTACGGATTAGAGAGCTCCAGTGATCGCATGTCTTGTTTCTTTAACCAGGTTGGTTTTTGTACTTTCTAAATGGTCTTAACAAGTGTACTTAGTTTTTGGTCTTTTCTGATCTCTGAAATGGCAGGCATTAGTGAATGTTGGTGGTGATCTTGCAAAGTTTGTGCCTGGTCGTGTTTCTACAGAAGTAGATGCTCGTCTTGCATATGATACTCATAGCATTGTTCAGAAGGTGTTACTCCCTTCAAACCTTCAACTTAACTATTTTTCTCCGCCATTTGTATCCTTCTACATTGTTAATAACTGCAAACTGTTACCAGATAATATTAATCATAATGTAGATGTACCATTGTTTGAAGTTTATATATACTTTAGTTACTAACTTAACCAATGATTTAGATTGTGAAATTCACATTTTAGTATTCCAGTCAGAGTATATAAAAAACGATAGAACAAAACTACATTTGTTCCCACCAAGGTTTGCCTTGTTATGTTCAAACCATTGTCTTGAACAATCCCAGTTGATTGCCTGTTGTCATTCAATGAGCTTTTTCTGCATAAAAATTTGTTACATTGAATAATATAATAGGAATGCACTTTGGTGGTCAACTATTGCCTCTATTACGTTCTTACATTACCTTGTTTGGCTAGACCTATTTCAGACCCTTTGCTGTGCCTCGTCCGACTGCTTTCTAGCTTTACCGAATGAAGTTAGTCACCGTTCTGTTTGTTTCTGATTTTACACAAGTGGCTGAGTTGTTTTAATCCTGCGACATAAACTCCCGCTATAGGATTAGCTCCCAAAAAAAATAAAAATAAAAAATAAATAAAATAAAATAATCTCCTTCATTTAGTTGCAATTAGAGCATCAACCTGCCTTGCAGGAAAATATATATTTCATCGTGAACATTCTATTTTTGGGCGTTGATTAAACTTAGTGTGGTACAACTGTAAGGATTGGCTGCAAACACCTCTTCTAGCTGTCAATGCACTTCAAATGTTCTGTGAAATTCCATTGACATTGGTCCTAGTTTCTGAATAAAGCTGTCCTTGTACTTTCATTGTGTTACATATGTGCACTCTCTCTCTTAGGAGTCATTTGTTCAAACAATGCATTAATAAGCCTATGTTTGGCCCCCATTTTTTCAAAAATTCATTGTTATTAAACTCATTTTCAACCACATTTTCTGCAATAAAATAATTTTACATGTAAATAGGAAACTCTTTCTTATGTTTTAACCACACATTCTCCAAAAAAAAAAAAATCACTATTCCAAAAATACATTTTCCACTAGAAATGGGGCTCAAACAAGGGCCAAGTTATTATCCATTGTTATATCTTTGTATTTCAGGTGTACAAGCTCCTAGAATTGTATAGTGAAGTTGGCGTGGCTCCAGAGAGGTTGTTGTTCAAAATTCCTGCGACTTGGCAAGTTAGTATTAAGGATTTAATGTATCAATTTGGATTCTTAAGAAACATTTGATTCTTTAAAACAACAAACTTGTACTTTATCTTTGTATCTTTACAATTGGCTCTCTTGCTAGGGGATTGAGGCATCAAGATTACTGGAGTCTGAGGGCATTCAGACACATATGACGTTGGTCTACAGGTATATAACTCACAGCTTTATATATTATGTGGATGCAGATTTAATGAAGTGGAGAAAAAGGATTCACAAAGCTGATTAGAATAAGGCTTGGTTTCTTTTTATGAAGAAAGCCTAGGTTGAGGGTTTACGTCATTGTGTTGTGTGTGTGAGAGAAAGAATTGTTGATAACTGCCAGCTGTAAATATCAATGTAGCATGAGGCCTTCAATGTAGTTAGATTCTTTATTTAAAAATCAGTTGTTGAGCCTTGAGGAAGTGATTTTTCTGGCAACTGGCATAGAAGCTGTGATGAGCATGGACAAATGCTATAATTACAAGTCTGCGTGGTGGGACGTGGGGGAAGGACTAGGATTTTGAACACTATGCAAGATACTTCAGGGGAGGCAAGCCATCTCTGCGAGCAAGGTTTACCGCTGAAATAACATACCACAGAAGGATTTTTTGACCTTCTGGGAGAAGCCTGCGCACACAACATTTTGTTCCCACTGGCCCTGTAATGCTCGAAAGCATGCATATATGATGATGTCAGCCCGAAATCTTTAAAATCCAAGCTTTTTGGTTCCACCAAGCTTACTAATTCTCACTGCGATTTTGCGCCTTCATACTGCTGGTTTTGATGTTCACCATTTGTTTTCGTGGTTTCAACCAGCTATTTCTGTATTTTTCTTGGAAGTTAATTTCACTTTTATGAAATGTTTTTGTGGAAAATACATCACTTTCATTCGTGATCTATGAAAATATGTCACTTATATGTGGTTGACTGTTTCTCTTCCTCTTTTATTAATTGTTTTTATGAATTCAACTAGCCTTATTCACCTTTTGCATCCATGTTTTTGTATGTAATGAATGCTTTGTATGTGAGTTAGTTATATAAAATGATTACATACTGAGTTACTTTGGTAGCTTGTATCTTCAGCTTTTGTCAAGCTGCAGCTGCAGCTCAAGCTGGTGCTTCTGTCATTCAGATATTTGTTGGTCGCCTTAGGGTATTACTCTCTAATAGAAGCTATGCTCGTTTTGTATTTTCATGATGATTACAATAATGAGGTTGTAATCTATGTCAGGATTGGGCTCGCAACCATACTGGTGACCCAGACATAGAAACTGCTCTTAGAAAAGGAGAGGACCCTGGGTTGATCTTGGTCAGTTCAGAGCTGCTGCTTTAACTTTATCTCTAGCATTTTGCATGTTTGGATAAGCTTAAAAATAAGTAAAAGTTACTTTCTTTAAATTCAAACATGCTTTATATCATGTCCCAGGTTCCCGTGCTTGCCCTGTGCAGGGGCTTGTGGCTTTTGAGTTTGCCAATCCAACTAGCGTATCATATTCATTAATAGAACTCTGAAGTAGAAGTACCTGAACAAACATGCATTGACCCATGTGCACGTTGATGAGGCCTATGTCTTGTTAATAAGTGACTTCGGAACTCGTCTTAAAATGTATAAGCTTCTAAAGAAGTATATACATGAAATCTTCTATCATTTTCATCTGATCGCTACATTGAGTTTAATAGATGCATTTGCTTCAGTTCCAGCTAATGTTTCTTCATTTGCTTCAAAATAAACCTTAAACTGGCCCTTGGATAGTAAATTTACGTATGGAGATTTTTTCCTCGTCCTTAATTTTCTTCTTCCAGTGAAAATGAGGAATGAGTTTAATATCAAAAGATTGCCAACACACCATTAAGATTTTATTTCCTTTCAAATTGCAGGTGACAAAGGCCTACAATTACATTCACAAATATAAACATAAATCAAAACTAATGGCTGCAGCAATTCGCAACAAACAGGACGTCTTTAATCTTCTAGGGTAATTACTCTCCTTTGAAGCATGTTGAATTTTTTAAATTGGTAAACTCGAGTGTGGTCTATAAAGTGAGGCTTCTTCTTTTACAGGGTTGATTACATTATCACCCCATTGAAGATATTGCAGTCTCTAAAGGAATCTGTGACACCTCCTGATGAGAAATACTCTCTTGTCAGAAGGCTATCTCCACAATCTGCTGCCACCTACAATTTTAGTGATAAAGAGGTTTGTTTATATTTATTCTATTTTGTATTTCATGGTGGTTTAAATATCAGTGAAAAGGTGGAAATAATTAGTGAAGGAAAAGAAAAAAAATATGTAAAAGAGCTTATAAAGATGGAGGATTTTATTAACCCAAAATAATAAAATCATGGAGCTGGTTTGATCCTCGAATACAGAAGGAGAACTAAGGGTATGTTTGATTGGCGTGGAAAATATCTCCTAGAAAAGAAAATATTTTCCTTGTTTTAAGGAAAATAAAAATCTATCCCCCAGAGAAAATATTTATCTCAAAAACGAGAAAAATTAAGTATATTTTCGATGGTTGGAAAATATTTTCCATAAAAAAAATGCAATCAAACACTCCGAAAATTAGAATTTGGGTGGAAAAATGACATTTTCCATAAAAAAATTTCCAATCAAACACACTTTAAAGGAAGATTTTACTTTCCCATTTTTGTGAAAAGAGGACTTCGAACACTTAGGGTCCGTTTGATTGCTTGTAAGAATGGAATTTGGGTGGAAAGAAAACGAATTTCTGGGAATTGAATTGTCTAGAACTTGTTTTATTAGGAATTGTCAATTAAATGTGTTTGATTGATATATAAAATTTTAGTTCTGGTGGTGTTCATTTGACTTTGTTTTTCATGAAAATTGTCAATTAAAGGGATATTTTGTAATCAAACAACCAAAAATGTGGAAAATGGAAAATTCCCCTATCAAACAAGCCCTTGGATCTTGACAATTTTGGCCATAAGAACTTGAAATTTTCTGTTCAGTTTATGCATTGCAATTAGATACTGATAGATCCATTTGAAACACACTTGAAAGAAAAAAATTAATTTAACTTGGATATCATGCCACTAGGCACTAGGTAGAGCAATCTGTGGGACTTTCTTACTGTCAAAGGAGAGAAAATTATATCTTGGAATGGTATTGGGTACATACATGTTCTCTACAAGTACCAATTTTCTATCTGAAAATCATGTTCGTTTTAGTCAGTTTAGACTAGAGGTGTACGGTGGGGAATGTCATGACGGGCGGCATGACCTGCGATTAGGTGAAAAAATAAAAATGAAAAATTTGTGGCTGTGGGTTCTCGATGCCTAGGATTACGTGTTTGACACCCCGAGTTTAGGCTCTTTGACTTGAAAATTCATGTGCTTATATGATCAATACAATTTCAGATTGTGAAGTGGGACCAATATAGCTTTGCCTCGGCAATGGGACCTGCAGCGGTGGAGCTTCTCACTGCTGGAATGGAAAGCTATGTTAATCAATCAAAGCGGGTTGAAGAATTGTTTGGGAAGATGTGGCCACCCCCAAATGTGTAAATTAATATCATGAGAAATCCACAAGACATTGCCCACATAAAATAAAAGTGTCCACACCAAACCCAGCATCTCCATGTTGAAATCTTTTGTTTGCTATCCTTGATGCAATGTCCTCTACAAAGGTACCTGTTTTGTTTTGGTCTTATGATCTCATTTGTGGAATAGGTAATGTGGCTTGTGGGTTATTTTACTTTGAGAGATGCTGATTCCCCCCCCCCCGACAGGGCCACCAAGTATCTTTTTCCTTTTACTTTTCTCCATTTTAGGTAATTAATAATTGAATTGCCATCTAGAAACAGAACAGAACAAGTCATAAATAGTACTTGAAACCTTTGGAAACAGAGCAAGAGAAGTAGCCCGTAGGGAGGCAAGTACTTGAAAGGATTTAACGTGCACAATGATGCTACATTGACGAGGCTTAAACGAACGGTCAGAAATGGGGGGTTAGGCCCACTTTTTTTTTTGGCGTTGTTTATTTATATGGATCTCAAGCATATTAGAGGTGGTTGTGGTTTCTGTCACACATTTTCGGTCACTTTTAACTTAATTCTAACTTGCAATATGTCAAAATAATCAAGTAAACTCTATTTCTTGAGATGAAGAGGAAGAAAACAAAATGAGTGGATGTTTAGACTTTTAATCATCGAAAATGATTGAGGATGTTTGGCTAAGCTTAAAATGCTAAAAGTTTCTATTTACGTATGGAGAAAAATTTCCTTTTTTTGAGTCATTTTTATATCGCTATCAAAATAAGTTTTAACTTTTAGCCAGGAAAAAAAAAATCATTATAATTACACACTTACATTTTTACTTGGTCAATTTAACATAAAAATAAATAAATAAATAAAATTTTATTAGTTCGAATGTTCACTACAAAAAAATTAAAATTTTATTATTTCAAATGTACACTACAATAGTACAATTGAAATCCAATGTAACATAGAGGTGTTAAGTGGGACGTGTTCATTGGTCAGCTCGTCCCACTAGTGAACCGAACCAAGTCGAGTCGAGCAGCGGCTCGTGCAACGACACGAGTTGGCTCGAGTACTAGCTGACTTGCCAACTGTTCAGCATAATGAGTGAAAAAATAATTTCAATAAAAAAAAATTGATGATATACTTTCGACTCGACCTATTCAATACCCAAAGCCATATAAACCAGTAACATCACATTAAGCCTCCAAGTAATTTCTGTTTCCCAACACACACACAACAAACAAGTGCGATCTATAATTTGGTTGCAGTGACTGCATGTGGAAGCTTGCACACATCAGACGCAAACATGAAGAATCATATTATTAAGGTATCTTTGTTTTATATTTTTCTACAAAATGTTCATGAATGTTACAACCCCAGACATTAACCTACTCCAATATTTTTCCCCTAGTAAATTTCATTTAAAAAGTTAATTTATTAGAGATACGGCAATTCATTATATACAAGTCGTAGTTATTTTTCTATCAAAATTTCGATGTGAACAATTTTCATAATTGAGTAGTGACAAGAGTTAGATTCAAAACCGTTTTGGATAATATCAAGGAGTGGACAATTTTATTATTAACCCCTATTTTGATGTAGATTTTTAGTAATTTAGATAAAAGTTGATGAAATTATGATTGAAAAGTTACAAATCTCATAAAATAAGTATGGGACCGACGTCCCTCTAATAGGGGGTGTCACTTGGGCATTATGAACATCATTATGGTGTTCAGTATGTTAAAGTAGAATAATCCTAAAATAAAAGGACCAAAGGACAGATGGGCTGAAATTGTCTAATTATTCATTGCATGTGGGTCTAATAAATTACGTCATACCAGGTTTAATCTGTCTTAATAAATTATCCAGTAATTTTATTTCTTTTCAAACATGAGCACAACTATGATTCTGTGAAAAGGGTTTGAACTTTGTTCTTTTAGGTTATTTTCTTTAATGCTTATATAATTTTAAAAGGACCAATTATTTTGTTTTTCCACCATAATTAAATGACTTCCTTAACATTAATATGTTTATTTACGACAACGATTTTCATGAAAGGATTGTGGGATCTTTTCCTTAATCTCTCATTCAATTGACAACCAATTAAAGAATCGAAAGTTTGATTCGTTATTCCTTTGAGTTTAGTATCTCATTTAATTGACAATGAATTTAAGAATCATGACATGTACTATGTGCACTTAAAGAAACTCTGTTAAAATTGATGTGGTGATAGTAATAGCAACGAAAAATTTATTGAATCACTGTAAATTTCTGCAGGATACTCTATAGTCGACACAGTATTTAAGCAACCAAAAGTGCCTCCGGGAACAATTTTTCAACTTGTTCGTACATCTTCATACTAGAACACAACAATAAATAAATATTAATGCTAACGTAAATATTGTGCAAGATACTCGCCACATTATGCCCTTGTTTGAGTTCCATTTTTTTCATCAAAATACATTCTTCAACAGTAATTTGACATCATTTTAACCATATATTCTTCAATAAAATAATATTATATGCAAATCAAAAGCTTTTCCTTATTTTTTAACCACACATTCTTCATCAATACACTATTCAAAAATTCATTTTCTCCCCCAAAACGGGGCTCAAACAAGGGCTATGTAAGAACCAAAAATGCCTCCCAATTTTTTATTTATTTATTTATTTTTTCCAACAGATTGAATCAAACAATCAATTGATGAAGTAATGTAGCATAACACATGTAGGGCTATCCAAATCTGATCCGATCCGATTCAATAATCCAACAGATATTTGATTGTTAAATCCATATTTGATTTGTTGTGTTATCTTATATCCAATCCGATAATTCGATTTGATATTGAAAAAATTAGAAAAATAAAAATTTTATATTAGTCAACTTTTAAGCCATATAATTAAAAGGTCAAGATAGCTTTTTATACAATTATTGGTCAATTCATTTATAGATTGTAAATTTTATGATAGGAAAAAACACATAATTACAATACATTAAGTATATTATTTCATATTTAAGAAACTTATAAAAATATTTCAAAAACCAGGTGATGAATAATATAGAAACCCAATCGACCATAATCTCTCCGCACAGCTGAAAATAATGCCTCTCTAGTTCAGGAATAGTTACAGTAAAAACTCCTTTCTCCATTGATGCCTTTACCAGTTTTTGCATTTTTCAGCGAAGAGAATCTCCTGACAAATTTACCTCTTACCCTCTCAATCAGATGTCATTAATCATTCTTGTCTTCCTTTTTCATTGCCCTCTCGCCGTTGATTTCAGAACCTACCCTCTTCCACTTCTAATTTCACTTATTCTTTCTTCAGCCCCCGAAGTTCCGCTTTGAAAACATGGGATTCTGAAGCCTCCTTTCAGTTTATTCAAACATTGGCGGTAGCGAAAATGTCGTTGGTTGATTGAAATCTCCAGAACAAGCCTAAATCTCCTTCGCCCATTGTCTCCACCACTACAGTCGCATGTGGAATTTTTTTTTTTTTATCAGAGAATCACACTAAACTGACAAGGATAAGTTTTGTAGACTGGAAATTGTGGTTGATGGGAGGACTATTGATCATTGGAGACGAAAATCAAGTGAAAATGATTGAACCATATTTGGCAATGTTTTATCAAATCCAATATGGGAAATAGGGTCTGTGTATGTTCTGTCCATCGCATGTATATGCATTTGGGCAACATATTGGTTTGCTTTTTTATTGTTTAATGAACTTTAAATTGTTCTTTTGGGGTGCAGATTTTTGTATTAAGTAATCTGACATATAAGTTGTAGCTGAAGAAATTTCAAACGGAACTGATTAAATTTCTGTCGAGGAAAATGGTGTGGTTTGTGACTAATTGAAATTGTGATTTGTTGGTGAGATCGGCGTTGAAATCCTAATGAAATTGGTGTGATTTGTAATTAATAGATATGTTAGTGATTGTGACCCATTAATTGACTTGTGCTACGGAAAATTAGTGATAGTGATCGACTAATTGTATAATTTCTAATTATAAATTACATGTGACCTATTAATTATTTGATTTGTGACGTTATATGTGATTGTGACCCATAAATTGTATCTTATGTGATTGTGACTATGTCTATGATTATAATCCATTAGTTGAGTGGCATATTGTGACCGGTTCAATTTCATTTATATGTCCCAACATTTATCCAAAGTCACAAGTTATGTGATTACTTGATTTTTGAATTGTCACAATCACTCTTATAGATCTCCCAGGTTCTAAAATTATTATTTTTTGAGAAATTAGGTGATCATATTTTGTGACGTCTTATAAAATTTTGTGATCTCTAATTTATTAAATGGATCGCGATCACAATAAACATCATTTATAACTATGATCACATACTAGTCACAAACCACACAAGTTCATAGTTACAAAAACACAATTTTATAGGTCACAAATATAAATTTAGCTGCAAATTATATATTTTTATAGGTTACAAATTATTTGTTGGTCAAAACTCATTAAACAATCATAAATTATCAAATTAATTCGTTACAACTTATTTATTGATCATAAAGACACAAATCGTAGGTCACAATTACAAACCTAAATAACCATCAAATATTACAAAAAAACTTGTTTTATTGATCACAATTACCCAATAACGGGTTAAAATGACCTAATAATTGGTCATGATCTACATCTTGATCACAAATCATGAAATGAATAGGTCACAAATTATCCAATTAATTGTCATAAGTAATTTTGCAATCACAAATTATTTGATCACAACTTATTTATCCAAAATGAAATCACAAATTGTAAGTCACAATTACAGATTTTATCACAAAATCACACATTTTTATGTATCGTATTATTTGATCAAATTATCAAATTAATTGATTACAACTTATTTATTAGTCACAAAGGCACAAATCATATGTCACAATTACAAATTTGGTGACAAACACATATTTTTTAAGTCCAATATTATTTATTGATAACAAATTTTTATTAGCATCAATTGTTCAATAATTGGTCAAAATTACCCAATAATTGGCCACGATTTATTTCTAAATGAAAAAAAAAATCACAAAATGTATTGGTCACAAATTATCAAATGAATTAGTCACAAATTATTTTTCGATCATAAATCACAATATATATAGGTCACAATTTATTTTAGATCACAAATCTACTTAATGGTTTATTTTGTAACTCTTGACAAAAGTTATTTATCAATCATAA